TAATTTTTATAAACATTTATTATTTTACTTACATGAAAAATTGTGATCCATTCGTATTTGGACCTCGATTAGCCATCGAAAGAAGATATGGTCGATCATGTTTGATCTGAAAATTTTCGTCTTAAAAAGAAAATTCTATGAATTATATTTTATTTAAATCAAAAAAATTCTTTACCAGCAAATGTACCACCATAGATCGATTCACCACCAGTGCCGTTGCCTGGAATTTAAAGACCAGATAGACACAAAAAATCGTATATTTAATTTTATCTTTATTTTTGCCAAGGCGTTAATATTGATCATTAGATGAACTAATGAGAAAAATGCCTATTATTACCTTCAGTAAAATCTCCCGCTTGTATCATAAAATCTTTCACCACTCGATGAAATTGACATCCTTTATAATATAATTTTTTATATAATGTTAAACCACGACCTTTTTCTCCTAAAAATTTATATACAAAATTTTTAATGGGAAGAACAAAAAAACAGGCTTATTTTACCTGTGCATAAACATCGAAAATTTTCGCATGTACGCGGACATGTATCGTTAAAAAGTTCAAATACTATACGACCAGCTAAAGAAAATAAAAGATAAAAAAATTTAAGATAAAATTTCTTTCGTATATATAGATATAAGACCCTCATTGCCATCAATTTTAATATCAAAAAAACAGCGAAACCGAGATGTCATATCTACAAATATAATTATATAATAATAAGCGATAGTAAGTTTTTATTCAAGAGAAAATATCATCTTGTGATTAATCATGCAAAGAAGGAATAATATAGAAGACAAAAGAAGAAAAATAAACAATAAATAACAACGGATCCTTCTCTTTTCTTTCTTGTTTCATTATTTGTCGAATAAATTGACTAATCATAAGAAAGTTAATCGAATTTTTTTCCCTGAAATTATTCTCTACGATTGTAGCGACATTGGTATACGTATATATAGAGCTTGAGCGCGAGAAAACCTTTGTTTCCTTTCATTTCAACATGGGTGCAAACACTTCCAATTTAAAAATTAAACAAAATCTTTATAGTACACCACCAAAAACGAATAATCGACTTTTATTTGATCCTCGATCTCCAAGTGGTAAGATTATATTCGAAATCTATATAAAAAAATTTTCATTCATATTTTATTTCTTAAGATGGTGTTAATCGAACGCCAATTCACATAGATAATCAAGCACCTATAGCATCTTTAAAACTATACAATCATGTTATGCCCTATATTATCGGACCAGATATAAGTATTCCCGAAGAAAATAAGGAAAATACTTATCCAGAAGAAAAAGTCGATGTAGAAGAAAATGAACCAAAACGTATAAGTGATATTCAACCAACATTAGATCCAACAATAACATTAACTGCTTTAATGGCAAATAATAATGGACAATTACCACCTTATCAATTATGAGAATCTTTTTTATTTCTATATGAATGAAACAGTTAATGTTAAATGTGTACATTTTTATGTAATCGATTAATTCTTTCTTATATTAGTTCTTTTTCTATCTTAGCAATAAATTTTCGAGAGTAAAGTAAAACTATATTTTTATGATACGTAAAATCACACATCCGATACTTTATAAATCGAAGAATAGATAACTACCAGCTTGTTTATATTGTTTGATTTTAAAAAAACTTATTATTATACATTATACTACGATTGATAATAACAAAAAATAAACAAATATTTAATATAAAAACAAATAATCTATGTGGGACGATGATTAAATCTATCACTTCGTTGAATTATCACCGAAATTATCACCAAGAAAATCTTTCATTTTTTCATATGTTAATAAAGTTAATACCGCTGCTGGTAATGTTCGTATTAGAGTTGGTACAAGACCACGATAGAAACCTCTTAAACCTTCGTCTTTTGCAATTGTTTGTACAGCATCACGAACATTTTTATATTCACGAAATTGTGTCGCAGGAGTTAAAGCGTGTTTTTGAACAGCTTGAGCATGACCAGCATCTTGAAGTCGACTACGAACAATTTCATGTGGATATGCAACACAAGAAGCAATTAATTTTGAAACACTCGATGCAAATATAATATGTCCTGTTGATAAACGTTGATCAGGCGATGAACCATCCAGACATCCTTTCTTAAGATATTCATAAAGTGGAAATTGAATACCAACATGAATCTACGAAGAAAACGAAACTTATATCACCGTTCGAAAGCATTAAGAATGTTGGAGATACGAAAGAGATCAAACGGATTAAGAACATTATGTAGACTACAAGAAATATTTCTCATTCTAAATCTATTGACTTCTGATTTGTCAAGAATCTAACCCACTTTTTTTCAATTCTATTTTAAACATCTGTAGAAGATTTCGAAATATATATCACAATAATGAATTATTACATACCAAACCTAACATAGATGGCACAAGACCACGATATAAAGCATAAAGTCCTTCTGTTCTATAAATTTTTCGTGCTGCGTCAAATGCATTACGATAATCATCATAATTTGATTGTGTCATCATACGTGTACGAATAGTCCACATTGGTGCAATAACTGTATTTGCTACAGCACCAGCAGTAATTGATGAAAGTAAATTTGTTAATACATCATTTTCATAGTGCCCCGATGATAAAATAGAAGCATATTGTTTTTTAGACCATTGATATGTACTAAAATATATAGCCCAATTCGGTACATAACCCTAAAATTGAATTTAAAATGATATTATATTCATATATAGATATCACTTACCAACATTGTTACTCCTAAGCCTTTATAAAATGCACGAAAACCTTCTCGTTGAGCCAATCTATATATAACAACTAAGAATGGTGTATCCGGCACACCTTTTGGTAAACGTTTTACTTGAATACGTGTTTTTAGAACATCAAGTGGACTAACGAGAACACTTACTAAAAAACCAGATGTAGCACCAGCTATAGAATTTATTTGTGACTCGCTTAATAATAAATGCGATTTGTTTTTTTGAGATTGTTTGTTCATCATATATATATATTTATTTTCTGAAATAAGAATTTTTGGTTTCTTGAAATAAATAAATAAATCTTTATTTAATCATAATCTTGTTTAAAGACGTTTTAGTCAACATTTAATAAAACAAAAGAGAAGAAAAAATGAAAACTGAATCATATTTAATACAAAAAAATATTTGTTTTTTTCTTTTTGTTTCAATCCGAGAGAATCTGTCGACGAATTGATTTCACATATTGTGATGGACACCAATAAATCCATATAATCGAATTTTCACTTTTTAGAAAATAAAATAGATTCCATTGAATTAATTATTAATAAAAATCAAAAATACTTACGTTGTACCAGTTTGAAAACCAACTATTGAATAACCATCATGACCTTCAATTGGTTCATCAACTACATTACGAATTTGTGTCATTGGGATTTTTTTCGTAGTTTCAGCTTAAAATAAATAAAATGATTTTTGTATTAAATTATATTGTTTTTCAAATTTTACCTGTATTTATCCATAATTCATCAAGTTCAAGTTTAAATGTTAATCGTGCTTTTTTACCTGATTGATTTAGCATTGACATATATAAACCCTCAATTGATGATGGTAATTCTTCGTTTAGATTTCGAATACCAACTTGAACATTCTCAGGTTTACCTATTTATAAAATGTTAAGATTGAAATAGATTCTTAGCTCTTCGACGTACCATTTTTAAGTACTTTTTCATGTTTAGTTTGTTTACATAAAGGTTCTTTTTTAGTTGTTCCCGATGCATAATCATCTGTCGAATCTTTATTACTACTTGCAGTACTTTGTATTCCCGATGTAGTTGAAACTTCTGAACGAGTTGCACCGACTAATAATAAAGTTTGACCATCTGTTAAATTTAAATCTTTTAATATTGTTGTTGTATCATCTCGTTTAACACTTGTTATTGATTTATTAACTAATTTTTGAACTTGAGGTTCAACATCAGTTAATTTATCTATTTTATCTTTGAGATGTCCCAATGTATCATATAAATCACATTCAATGGAAAATTTTTGTGTTTTATAACGAATATTAAGTGTAATTGGAACATTGGATGCACTTTTTTTTAATGGTGGTTGATCAGTTGATTCTGATGAATCACCGGTTTCATTTGTTATACTATTTTTATGAGTATTTGAAATATCAGGTACTACAGCAGTCGTAGATTCGTCACTCATTGTTTATTTCTACAATAAAAAAACAACAACAATATAATTATCTATAAAGAATAAATTTAAAGCTTAACTATTTCAATTACAATCGAAGTTACTACACTGAGAATTTTATTCAGCCGAAATTTTATTGTCATTTATAAAATAGTTTCGATATTTATAGAGATTAACACGCTGTAATAATGAAAATATATTTTCTAAAATTCATATTTAATCAATTTTTCGCGTATTTTGTTTTTTTTTAATATTAAAAAGGCGTTTTTTAAATTAATTTTAATCTAAATATTTTTTAGATAATTATTTATACATGAAAACAAAATAGATCATATTCATTTTAATATAACATACTTTGTTTTTTTTTGTTTTAGGCAAGATATTAACAATTATCATGAAGTCAATTTAAGTAACTAAAAACAACTGGTTTCCTACTTTTTCTTTTTCTTTTTCTTTTTCTTTTCGTTCTGTTCTTATTCTTATTAAGCCAATAAGTTTTATTTCTGAATGAAATGAGTTCTTTAGAGCAAGTATCATGGCTGATTAAATAGCCAATCCTATTCGTTTCTGTTCTCCGTGTGATCATTTTCGTATCTATTTTGATTTATGTAGGCGAAAAAAACCTTGATGTTTAATGACAAACAAAATTTTTTTCTTTTCGTGTTTTATTTGATTATTTAGTATGAGATGCTTGCGCAGATTTTACATGATCTCTATGTACCACCAGACTTGCTTGATGAATTGCCAGAAGATCAAAAACAATTACTTTTTTGTAAAATGCGTGAAGAACAAGTACGAAGATATCATGAACGAGAACATAATGAAGCAATAATAACAAATGATAGAAAAAATAAAAAAAAGAAGAAAAAAGTCACATTTCTACTTGGTGCTGATGGAAATGAATGGTGCTGGATCATGGGTGAATCTGCAGAAAATATTGACAAGCAATTCAATAATAGGTAAATAATGATACGCTGTAAGGATCTGTAGTACACACAATTTTTTTCATAGAATTAATAATGAAAATATGAATATCGATTATCAAAATGGATATAAACAATCAAGGTAAAGTTATATATTATATTATCATTTTTGAAATAAAGTCCTTATAGAACCAATATCAATACTACGCAAAGTCCAATAAAAACTGGTGTTTATTTTACAGTACATCGTGATGAGTAAGTAATATCGCCACGGATTTATACCATTTTTTCAAAAAAAAAATCTATAGTTATAAACAAAAAAATGAAAGTTTTATTTTCGTATGAAAAATTCAACATATTTTAGACAATCTATCAAAATTCGACATTTTTTCTAATGTAAGTGTATATATTCTCAGAAATATAAGCTTTGCCAAAGGTGGAATAAGCTTTCTAGTTGAATGTTAATTTGGCAATTCTTCAAATGACCAAAAAAAAGAAAAAAATTTGCTTATTATCAGTAGATAACTAAATTCATATTTATTCTAGACGTAAACAAATCGAAGAAATTTCTAATAATATACAAGAAGCACGTCGTATTTTCGAACGACTTGAATCAGATACACGACGACTTGCATTAGTATTTTGAAAAGATTTTCATATAGAAAAGAATATTTCTTTGTATTTCTATAGACTACAGAAAATGAAATTTTACAAAAACAACAACAACATTCTCAACCATCTCCACTTCAAATATCTCAATCAGATTTTGTTGATGAAATATTTTATCATGAAATTGAACAACGTGCAAAAAAAGCTGATCAAGATCGACGTGAAGCAGCACAACGAGCACGTGATTATTTTCATCGTCAATCATCATCATCACAATTAGATCCATGTTTTGATACTGACGAACATATAACTTTTGCACTTCAACCAATTATATTAAAAACATCAAATCGTACGATATCAAATGAGAAAAAAAATGATATCGAATTTGATGAAAGTGAAACACCAGCTTTTCCAATATTTTCTTCGGATGAATCAACAACATTAGAAAATAATCATGAATCACAACCAACAATTGTTCCTAATGACCAACAACGAACGTAAGAAAAATCATCTATAAAATGCATAGTCTTTTCAAAAAGAATACATGAAATTTCAGTTAAATACACATATAGTATGTTTCGTAATAGTCACAAATTGTCGGTGAGAAAGTGGAATAATTGTGTCTTCAAACAAAAAAAAAATTTCACAGACTTCACTCTTCACACAAAATAAAACATTGAACATATTCATTCAAATCTATTTCATTACATAATTTCATTTATAAGATTTCCATATTAGTCTTATGTTATATAATGATAATTATTTTCTTTTTAGTAAACCATTATCAGTAATAACTCGTGCAGATATTCGTCAATGGTTTTATACGAATGAAATACCTTATGGTACATTTCGTTCATTAAATGGAGATATATATCCATGGTTTCATGGTATTATTTCACGTGCTTATACTGAACAACTTCTTTGTTCACAACCAATTGGTACTTATTTGATACGTGTTAGTGAAAAAATGTTTGGTTATGTTTTATCTTATCATGCATCAGATCATTGTCGTCATTTACTTATTGAAGTTACTCAACAAGAACATGCTTATCGATTTTTAGGTGGTGCTAAAAAAGAATTATTTGAAAATCTTAGTCAACTTATTGATAAATATACTGTATGAAATTGATTTTGAATAGATAAATTTCATTTTTCATATCGATTTAGAATGCTCCAATTCGCTCAAATTCTACAGATGTTCTTCGTTATCCATGCGCACAAATTGATCTTGAACGAGCAGATTATGCGGATTTATTTGTTGAGAATATTGAAAATGATAAATTATATGAATCTTTGTATATATCACTTGATACAACGACATCATCATTACAGTCGACAACACATTTGTAGTCAGTTATTATTTTCATATTGATCTATTTTGTTCTTTCTTTTTTTTTTTTTTTTTTTGCTATGAAATGTACAAATCTGATTAAATATTTTTCTTTTGCTAATCGAATACTAATTACTCTGATCGTTTCTTTTTCGTTCTTTTTGTATAGATATGAAAACAAAAACATTCCACCGCGTTCATTCCTTTTTTTTTTTGTTATTGTTATTATTATTCAGAATTTTGTGCAATCTCTTTTGTTCCAATTTACCCAGTGTTAACGATAAAACACAAATAGAAAAGTACTACACATTTTTTCTCTTTTTTTCTTTCAATTGTAGAACAGTAGCTCTTTCTTTTTTTTTCTTTCTCATTTGATAGATGTTTTCTGTTGAATACATTTCTGTTACTATTGTAAGATGATAATAAAAATACTATTACGCAAAATTAAAAAAAAATTATTTAAATACGTCTGATAGACAATAAGATACAAAAGTATTACAACTATTAATTGATTGTCTTGATGAAAGCTGATACATCGTACTTCCGGAACTGTGTGTCTTACAGTTGAATAGGGTATACAGAGACAAGAGACATAGTCCGTCGACATGTTTCACAATTAATTATGGTATTCTTTCTTGTTTATTGTTATCTAACAGGGAGATTTTCATAAAGCCATCAGAAAATATGACAACCTTGAGATTTTATTCAAAGTCATGTCTTTTCTTGGTTTTTTCATTTGTTCTTATCAGTATACAAAGTAATGTGTGTATTGTTTCTTCTACTCTATGACTACAAGTCTGCTATAAAATAGTGTTCCGTTAATAGAAGAACTCACTTATCTTTCAAAGTTCGTATTTGACGTAGCAATCTTCTCCGTTCAACAAATCTTATATTTTTCAACTGACAATGATACCTGAAGGTCGTTTACTATTCATAGCCACTGCTTTTGTTCTCGTTGCTGCGCTGACCATGATTGTTGGTCTTGCCACTCCTGCTTGGATACATAACTCATACGGCAACACAGGACATGAAGGGCTATTTGAGTTTTGTAGAGACGGCAAATGCAAAAAGTGCACCGATCTGGATTGTTCAAAAGAAAGAACAGTTTGTGCAATTCTCTCTATTGTGGCAATAATTCTACTTCTAGTTTGTGCGGCCTTTTCCGTTCTTGTCGCATTGGGCAAATTAACTCCAAACATTGTTATTCGATCTATTCTCTTTTCTTTGTTTGTCCTCACTACAATTGTAATCATCGCAGCATACACCTTATATCTCAATCAAATACTTGGCTACAGTTCAAGATTGATGATCGTCAGCATTATTTTCGCTTTCCTCGGCACAGCTGTGACGTCTTTTGGATTGGGTGTCATGTCAACTTCCACAACTCGCTGAGCTCCACGGTTCGATTTTTCATGAACATTCGAAAATAAACTTTTTTTTCATTTGTTATCGATTTTAAGCTAGAAACAAATATATATATTCACGCACATATCATAGTCAATCGAATATCTCTCGATGAGATTGCGGAATTGTTCAAATACACTGATAGATGCTTGAGAATATTCCTTAGAGAAAATAGAGAAAGGACATGTTCTCATGTCTCAGAGATGTACTACAAATGTGCATGTATTTTTCAAATACGTTATCGCAAAAGTCTAGAATATCTTGTCAATGTCATATCTTAAAAGACCATGAATAAGATATTCTCTTTCTAATACATAGTTTGTTCTCGTCAACAATAAGGCATTTTGAAGGATACTCTCTCATCCATATCAAAAACGTCTATTCCTAATGTGTAATGTGGGTGTGAGTTACGGATAGAGACATTCACACCCACGCCCAAGATTCGGTTTTTCTCGTTAGACAAGCTTCAAAATATATCAATCATATATGAATATAACAATTTATATTAAATAAACAAATTATACAACAAAAGTTTACTTATTTTAATCTATCTGTACAACGCACATGCAAATACATATATATATATACATACAAACAAAATAAACATATTGTAAGAAACAAAAAAGAAAGAAATACTGTGCGTGTTTAAAGAACTATTTTAATAATAAAAAACAAATATTAATAATTATTTTAATAGGATCATACGTTCAAATGGTAAACGTCGTTGAATAGTTAATGTATTTGAT